TACATACCATGTTGTACCCGTAAGGTAAAAAAGACTTTTTAGTTTAGGGTATTTACATTTAAGGGTTGAAAAAATGTGTCAGTGTCAGCTGTCAATTATGTTGATGGTAGAACACAGGCGTAACCATAGATGGGCGTAACGTAACTACTGTTGTATATGGTTGTATATTGTATGGAACTTGTATTTGTAGCAGCAGTATTTTGCATTTGAAATAGATAAATCCAAATAAAAAAAAAATGTTTATAGAAACCGGGAGAAACATAAATAGACTATTAACAATAAAAAAAAATAAAACACAATGCTACGCTGATGTTTCTCACATTATCGACAGATATTGGCAAATGTCTTCAACCTTTAAATGTAAAATAGCCTAAAATAAAAAGGATTGTTTTAAGTAATGGCGATTTTTTCAAAAAATACCGAAAAAAGAAGGGATGAATGTCCTTCGACAAAATTTCCCATATGTATCTAACTAATAGATCACACAGTGTAAAACTTGTATATGGAAAAGTCCTCTTATTGTCTCTTCCTCTATGAACTCCAATTTATAACTATTTACCACATCTGATGTTACTACTTCGTACGGCCCTTCAAATGGTATCTTTGCAAATTTTTCTTTAATTCTCAAATTATTACTAAATCACCTATTTTTCGAATGTTGTTTTCCTATTATTTATTCTTTTCAAATGTTTTTCCGCATTCACTAATTTCTTATGATTTCTTCATAATTTCGTTTATGTGTCTCTTTTCATTTTCTTTCATCATTATGTATGTACGACATTCCATCGTTATCGTATTTGAATTATTATTCAAAATTGATTCTATCTCTGCCATATAATCCTCCCATTTTGTGTAGTCTTCTGGGACTGCTAGTCTTAAAAATCTTAGTACCTCTGGTATGTACCTTTCACAAGAATTTGCAGATGGGATGTCTTGTACTAATCATTTTTAGATTAATTTGATTATTTCTAATAAATCTTTCATTATTAAAGTATGTTTCATTATCTAATATATAATTTTCTACTACTATACTTTATATCTTTTTTGTTCACTACCTTACATTTAGTTGAGTTTGTTGGATATAGTTTAATATACTTGGAAAATACATCTACTGTTACTAATATATTTGCATTTCTATCAGTGCCTTACATGTTTTGCATGTATTACTTCTATTTGATTTGTTTCTTAAATATGACTGTAATAAACCTTATACTTTTAGGCTTTATTTAACATTAAACTTTGACAATAACAAAATGTAAATAACTGAATGAATACGAGTTAGAACATACTATAACTATAAGATAAGATAAACTATAAGATAAGAACATACTATAAACTAATATTTGTAAATATAGTCCTTTAGATAACTTGGAGGTTGTTTCACTCTTGATGATTTTCTTAAGGGAATATTACTTGTGTTTTCCTGGTTTTCATCAGAGCTGGAAGTAGGAAGGATGTTTTCAGAAATGTTTTTTTTAGAAGAATTTTGGAATTCTCAGCATTATTAGTTGAGGTGATATTTCCTCTAGGGGCCAAATGTTTAATCGAAACAGTCGATTCGTCCATTATTATTTCGGATTAAAGCGTAATTTGGATTAATCTCTATGACTTCAACTTCTTCGACCAACGGATCGTATTTACTCTGCCGAATATGCTTCTTCATTAAGACGATTTGTAAACGGCACAACCATGTGGAAAGGGAAATTCCTTCCCGTTCATGTTTAAACATACGTTCATGGGGTATACAATTAATTGAAGTACATAATAATGATCTGATAGCATGAAGAATATCAAGTAAGACCATTTTCCATTGAGTTTGCTGCAAATTTCTAGTTTTTAATGCCAAATTAATACTTTTCCATATGATTCCGTTATAGCGTTCAACTTGTCCATTACCTTCTGGGTTATACGCTGTAGTTCTGCTCACAGCTAGAACCACGGTCAGAATGAATATATAAGGGCAATCCAAATATAGAAAATAGTTGACTGAGGCAATTTATAATAGTAGATGAATGCAAATTGGAACAAGGAAAAGCAAATGGGAAACGTGAATATTCAACCACTGTTAGCATGTATTTATTTTTTGTGCTGCTGGGCAATGGGCCTTTTAGATCAATATTTAACCGTTCAAATGGACTAGTAGCCTTGGAAAAGGCACAGAAAAACACGGAAGTTTATGCATCACCAGAATCATCACATAGTTTTTCTACAGTCGCAGAATATGACTATAATTCTGCTTCATCATCAACACTTACTTTTAAAACTTGTTATTTTTGTGGAAAACCAAATAATTCTCGATCCGTTTGTCCTGCCAGAAATACAGTACGTTCTTACTGTAAACAAATTGGTCATTTTGTTAAAGTCTGTTTAAAGGTTAAAGCCAATAATGATAAGTCTGCTGTAAAATCAACAATAGCTTCTACCTATTTCCTTGCTACTTCTAGCTCATTAAGTCTTCCCTGCTTAACAAAAACACTTGTTAATTGTAGAATAAATAATACGAATGCCATGTCCTTAATAGATACTGGGAGTTCTGACAGTTACCTTGACTATGATTTTGCAATTAAACATAATTTGAAGATAATCCTTTGCTCATACAAAGTAATTTTGGCATCTACAACTTTTTTACAGGACATTCAAAGATATTGCGTGATACATCTACAATTACTAGGTCATAAATACCAAAATATGAGAATTTTAATGTTACCGAACCTATGTTCTAATGTAATTATTGGCCATGATATTCTTCAACAACATTCTAGTTTAATTAAATGTCAATTTTGGTGGTCCTAAATCCCCTATTTCAATTTGCTGCTTATTGGAAGCTAAAGTAGAGTGTCCTTTACTTTTTGCAAACCAAACTCCAGATTGCAAACCAATAGCAATAAAATCACGGCGCCACTCTGATCAAGCTAAAATTTTTATAAAAAAATTAAGTTGAGAAATTAGTAATAGAAGAAATAATAGAAGAGAGCATATCACCATGGAGAGCACAAGTACTAGTAGTTTCAAGTGAAAATCATAAGAAAAGAATGATCATTGATTACTCTCAGACCATAAACAAATTTACACTATTAGATGCTTACCCCCTACCTAATATTGAACATTTAGTAGCCAATATATCTAAATACGAAATTTTTACCACCATAGATCTAAAAAGCGCTTATCATCAAATACCTATAAGTAATTCAAAAAAGCCTTTCACAGCATTTGAGGCTTGTGGAAAGTTATACCAATTCCGCATGATCCCCTTTGTACTATATACCTGTTTATTAGTTTATAGTATGTTCTTATCTCATAGTTTATCTTATAGTTATGGTATGTTCTAACTCGTATCCATTCAGTTATTTACATTTTGTTATTGTCAAAGTTTAATGTTAAATAAAGCCTAAAAGTATAAGGTTATTACAATTTATTTAACATTAAACTTTGACAATAACAATAACATACTATAACTATAAGATAAGATAAACTATAAGATAAGAACATACTATAAACTAATAAATAGGTATATGGTACAATGACACTCCCTAGTTATTTCTTTTGATGTCTTATAATCAATCCTCTTTGCCCATATAATTTTTTCAAAATAGTAACCATATTTTCCTAGTCCCAACGTGTCCATTTTTTGTATATTCAAATTTGCTTTAATTATTAAACATGTTACTAATACCACCCTTCAACATTATTATCCGCGTGTCACTGTCAATTGTCAATATTCCTGTCAAGTCAGGAAGGACGAACGAAGGGCGGAAGAAAGCAGCAGTCGCAGTCTTAGTTTGATCGCGTAGAGCGTAGTCAAGCAATAAAATATAGAACAGTGTAATACTATTAAATAAACAGTTTTGGTGGTTTAATAACTTTTATTGGGCTTAATTATCCCTTACCTTATCACACCTTATTATAATTTATTTGAAAAACGTGCAAAAATAATGAATTCTCAAACGTCAGTTTGAAAACTTGTCAATTTGACTGCCCCACGTTGGGCACCATTTGATATGAAAAGTTGTATCCCTAGCGCAGATAAATAAATTTGTATTTCTTGATAAATGTTTAATGTTTCAAACTCTTTTGACTGGCCTAAGCTTAACCAGATCATAACTGCAGTCGTAGTTGACCGTGGTGTGGTGTAAATTCGCTCGGCCGACTTCATCCAACAAGCTGGTGGTGAGTGAAGTGTGACTGGCAGTGGGATGCCCGAGAATCGCCGGTAGTCGATGGAGTCTCGGGCACTTTAACCCCATGCCCAGCGGTGTGCCAACGGCTGATGACTCATCGCATCGTGCCAATGTTGGACCGCCGGAGGCGATGCATTGCGGGTTGCGTAAGTATCAGCGTGACTCCTCGCATGGTAAGTTGTCAAGTGCCTTTGGAGTTTATAAAAAGTTTTGTGGTAATCGTGATCCTACCCAGTTAATGATGGATTAAATTCAAATTGATTTTACCGGAAAAAAATCAAGTTATAACTATGGAATGGTAATTGAATTATAATAAATTAATTTTTATAATTTACATTTTTTCTTGTCATTTAGGGTAGAGGTAAATTAGGAATGAAAGGGACAAAGAGAGGGAGAGAAGAGAAACATATTGGGTACATTCTTAATTTATCTCTACTTAACTGACACTTAAAATACCAGTGATAATTAGACAGTTTATTGGCCAGCACATTTTTATGCTTAAATTACCTATACTGGACACTTCTCATGATCATAATAGTGACCATAGGTATTTTGAAAAGTAGAAAGCGGGATAAATCTAAAACAAATATTTTTTTATATTTAGTTCGATATGTACTTTGTTTTAATAGCTAAAGTAATTTTATGATTGTATTTTGTAGTTAATTATTTTTTATTTAAACAAAATGTTGAATGAGTTGGTTTTTCCTCAGAAAAAAAAATTATTTTTTAAATTCTTTATTTCGCTATTATATGCATTTCTACAAGATAAAAACATAAAGAACAATATAAAGAACAAAACTAAAGACTAAAATAATCTGATTTCTAAAAATCACTTTGATCATCAGGCACATCATCTGATTCTGGTTCTAGTACAGGCCGGTTAGCAGAGAGAAGTTGGCCGTAGTACTCTTTAGATCCCTCTTCTTCACAAAATTCCATTAGAACTTTTAGATCAGCACACTTTTCTTTGGGCAGAGGTATAGGGCTATGGTAGAGCTCGTTGGGTTCTTGAAGATCTGGTACATTTGATTTTCTATTCTGGTTCTTCCGTTGATCTTTTATCAATGATGACATGTAACTTCCGTTATATATTTCCCTATGGTCAACGGTTTTGCTTTTTGTTTGAATGAACATTAACTATTTTAGTTGCCTAATAGGAAAAGAAAACTTTTTCTTGTACAACTTGGAGTACAAAAAAATTACCCCATTCTTTAAAAATAACTTGTTCACATGATACCACAACTATATAACTCTATAAACTCTTTCCAATCATCTGGAGTTTCAGCCTTAGCACTTTTGAAGATCAACCCCATGTTTTTGTCGGGTTCCATGAAGAAATGGCCGCGCACTGTGTAAGTGATTGTAACAGTGTCCAATCATTTTAGATCAGCAGTTACGTAGTGGAGGAACTGCAATGGTGTGGTTTTTGTTTTGTCCCCCGCACGAATCGGCGAAGACATAAAGTTTCTTCACAGCAGGATCTAGGTAGGTGTTGAAAAAATGATAAAGCATTGAGGCAACATCATCTGACCCTTTTTTTGCGACGGTTTGGTCGTAGGTGTACATTACTGAAGCACCAGTTGACGAAATATGCACATTGAAAATATAGAATGATAGTTGTCTTCTGCAGAAGTTATATTCGGAATAGGAAGATTTTTCCGAAATTTATAGCGATAGCCTCTACAGTTAACGATTTTGTAGCTTCAGTTTTTGCACGCCTTTTCAATTCATAGAACCAATCTGCTCTCTTCAAATGAAATGTCTTCTTAGTTTCTAGCTTCCTATCTTCCTCGTCTAACTTTACCTTTTTGTTATCACTTTTTTGGGTGGCATTTTTCCTATCCAGCTCAGTAATTTTGGCTTTCTGCTCATCACACCAACAGCACGTTTTGGTTCGTGGATAACCGAATGCGACTCTGACACAAATATCTGGGGCTGTTTAGTCAAAAATAATGCAAGAAGCCTTTTTAACATTCATATCTTCCGGGAGGTATACTCTGTTAGAGTCCTTCAAGCTGTAGTGAGCTTTACCCCCATTTAAGGAGCCAAAAAACTGCAATAACAACTCACGGGTTAGTTGAGACATCTTATGAGGTCTATTGGTATGCTTTCCCCTTCTATCAATCGGCGGCTCGCCAGTTGTTTTTAAAGATGTTTTGATTGTATGTAATCGAAAGGTTTTAATTTCAAAAAGTGATTGAAATGCTTTAAAACATACTGGCACCTCTTCTACTCTGCCATTCCTAATAACTCTCACTTTGTAGCTGTAGGAACTTTCATTCAATCTAGCATCATCTTCATTTTGCCTTGGCCTTCGTCGAAAGACAGGTCGTAATGAAATAAGGCCAGATAAGTAAGTATTTTGGGCATCATGACTATTCTCACGTTAAATTGTCTTATTAACTCACTTTGTTCGGCGACAGAAATATTCTCAAGCTTACATTGGCAGCTTTTTCCGGTTTCAAACGTCGAGGCCCTTTTTAGCAACATCTCTAAGGCGGCCATATTTTTTACGCTTTTTTGTTTACTTTTCTGTATTAACATTAATATTTTCGTCACTGTCCGACATTTTAAACAATCTTTTAAACAATCTCCCATTTCTGGTGTCAATTTGGAACAAGAATATGGACATTTAATTTCAATTATTTCATTATTATTAATAATGCCGTTTGGACTTGCTCCCAAGTATGGATGTTTTTCGTAAATAAATAATTCACATTCTTGTACCGTTTTTCCATATTTATTTTTAAATTCTTCTATCGCAATAGATTCATGATCTAGTCCTCATTTTATAGCGACTGATCCGTAAAAAGAGGAAAATAATAAGTCTTTTTGGATCTGTTGTTTTGCGTAATTTGCAAACGGTTCCAAAATTTGAAGCCATCAGCATATTACTACGATGCTCTTTCCACAGATCATTGCTGGCCTGGCCTCTAGTAGATACTTCAATTTTACAAGTATCATCTGTTGATTTTAATAAACTATCCAAAAATTGCAGTTTTTTTGTTCCAAAACATCGTCATCGCATTAAATTTTTTTTTTAAATTTTGCGTTTTTTAAATTGAGGGCCACTGGCTTTTCTACTACATGAGATGTAGGCATACACATTAAATCGACCCTAAGTTAGTTCCTTGAGGCATGTAAAAGTTAAAGAGTACATCCAAGTTCTTAGAACAAAGCAAAGTACGTCCTCGCATCAGGTGTCCAATTAATACGAAACTCTACACTACCGTCTCGACTAAATTGACTATCCTCAGGGGTAAAATGTAATTTGATTAAATTTCCAGGAAGGAAAGACCGAAATTTGGGACAACGCGTCCTTCTAGAACAATGAGAAATTAAGAAACTTAATAAGTAAAGTAAAGGAATAGATCGTAGAAAAGACATTAGTGTTTCCCTTTTCTTGCACGGTTCTGGCGTAATACTGAAATTGATTGATGACTAGGTAAGAGGGTGGAATTCAGGGAAGAGTCGGTCAATTAATTTAAATCAATATGACCATAGTTTGTAATAGAAATGAGATACCTATACGTTCGTTTTGTTTTAGAACAATCATTATCTGATTGAAAATCTTTATACTTTTTAATACAAATTCCAATCCATTGTTTTTTACTTGGATAGGCAATTGAAAATACTCACTTTACATTTAGAACTATTGTTGATAAGGTGGCTGTAATGAAAGTGGTGATTACGATGTGGGGATGTGATAAGCGGCTGTTTATTTTTGGTATGTTCGTTTATTTTTATGGCATTATGCCATTGTTATCTCGTAAATTATGTTTCAGAATTATATTAATTAATCAATTAATGTGTCCGAAATTAAATTGGTTACAAATCTAAACCTCTTGATTGCATTTTGGTGGTATTACGAGCATTTAAAATATTTATAACGTTATTCTCAACCTTTTTTTGTTGCGGCACACTTTTAACTATTTCAAAATTTGGCGGCACTCAAAAAAAAAGATAAGTTTAAAAATGTGGAAAATTGTCATAATATGTTTAACCTTTAACTGCATGAATTTTAGAAAATCGCAAAAAAAATTAAAAATTCGGAGTAGCTGATCTGACCCTACTTATAAACAGGGAAAATTATTTATCTGATTACAATTTTGTCAAAATTAAAATTAAAAAAAAAAAATGTTATCAAATATAATATGCTTCGAGGGAGAATAAATGAGACTAAAAACTCAACAAAGTACTATTATTCAAAATGTATTTATGTTTCAAATAACACTGCGAAATAATCTATTAGTTTTCACGATGGAACTCAAAAAAACAGTTTCTTTTTTTGATTATACAAAAATTCAGTCTACATTTCCAGCAGTTGACATTGGTCAATGCTTTACAGCTATCATATTTGCATCTGTTTTTTTTTTCTTCAAATTGCGCCTAATGCTCAAATCCATCAGTACGAACAACTATTGTTGGTCTAAGGGCAGCAGATCTTCTCCTAATTTGAGCGCTGGCAGGTCGACCACGTCTGGGAGTGTCACTCTTTCCAATTTTACACAGGGAATATGCTAAATCTATTCCAAATTGTTTCTGAGACATTGTTATTTTGCCGTTTATGCTGTTTATTCTGTTAAAAAGAACCCAAGCAATAAACAACGCACAAATCAAGCCAATGGTGAAATAAGCGAAAATACCATTTTTTACTTTTCATAGTTATTTTGTATCTGTTGTAGATTTTGATAATTTTTGGACAGGGAATGTTCACATATTGTTTTTCATTTCGGACATATCTGCGTATTGTGTCAATGGGTTCCACATCACATAAATTGGATACCAAACACACAAGACTACTATCGTTCCAATGAACAAGAGAAATTGGACAACCATCATATTCTTCTACAGTCGCCCTTGCACTTTTTTTCATACTTTTGTCATCAGTAACGGGGTTGTTTGGGATGCGATCTTTTCGTATTCTCCCCAATGTAAAAATATCCTTCTTGTTCAGCTCAACCATGAGGGGTAGGGAGGTATAATATTTGTCAAAATATACGGTATATCGACAATTCCATCAATAATTACATTTTCTTGTCCTGAGTAGATTTCAAACTTTTGCGAAACCATCGTTATCACATAAAACAAATAATTTGTAGCCCCATTTTTTGGGTTTTCGAGGATTGTATTGTCGTAACGAATATTTTGTTTTAGTTGCACAAATTTGTTCATCAACTGAAAGACTCTCACCTATAGGTACATTAGAAAATTTATTATTTACATGGTCTATGATAGGACGCAATTTGAACAGTTTGTCTCTAGCAGGATCATTAGCTTATAAATTGTTAGTGTTATCGTTGAAATGAAGAAAAGAACGAATGGCTTCAAACTTGTTGATTCCCATAGTTGCTTTCACCATATCGTTACCCAAGATCGAGTGCCAGAGATCTCTAATGCACGAAACACGTGCCACAGATGAAAATATAAAAATTTCTATGTATTTTTGCAGCAAATTTAGGGAAAGTGTTGATGGTTTATTAGGGTTTTTTGTACTGAATATAATATAGACTGTTGTACTATTAGGGAAAAAAAATTATACTGATACTGTAACTGTAACAAATCATTCGGAATACTTGAATTTCCTTTAAATTTTTTATGATCGTTTACAACTATCAAAGACCCTTTTCTCCAACGAATTTGCTCATCTATTGCTTTCTTTCTATTGATTGTTGGTTTTGAAGGACTTGTTTTTGGAGTAATCCGCGATTTTGGAGGAATATTTGATTTTTGTTTTGCAGAAATTTTTGATGCAGCATCGTCAGAAATCGCATCTGAGAACTTAGAAGTGCTAGGGAAATCAGCTGGAATTTTTACGTGCTAGGAACGTCAACTGGAACTTTCGAAGTGCTAAAAAAACAATTTGAAAATGCTAGCCAAGTCAGCCGGAACCTCTGAAGTGTAATCTTCTATTCGATTTTGGACTTCATCAAGTTTTTCAAATAAAACTTCATCTGAAATTTCAATCATTTCATCATCTGAATTGTGATAAATCATCTTCACTCCCGTAAGGCATATCTATTAAGCGACACACATCTTGCTCTCCTAGGACTTTTTTCCGTCCTTTACCATCTACGAAATTTATATAGTGATCTATCTAAAGACAAGAAAATTTTCTAATATAGATTTTTTAT